CTACGACCAAGCAGACATAATTTCGCACTGAGTACAAGAATTGATTGTTGTTTCTGCAAAAAGAATGGTGAAAATTATGCGCAGGTTTAATTTGTGAATAGTGAAAACAAATTACATGTATTTTATTGTTTAATGCAAAAGGGGATAATGCAGCAGCCTGGGTAGTTTTTTCAACAAAATCATCATCAAATAATTTATTCGCATATATCGCACTGTATTCTGGGAAACATGACATCATGCGAAAAAAAACTCCCAAGGCAAGTGGCAAAAATCCTGAAAGAAAAAACAAAGGGGATTTGGTCTCAAGAAAAAAGAGATTGGTAACCTAATTGAAAATTAATGATTTTGATTAAAGTTTTCAATTTTAATTTTTTTCAACAATATCATTTCAAATATTGCATACAAATACTTACTCTTTCTAGTTTTACGATCTGTCGAATAAAAAAATTGGCTTTTTGAGATTCCTGCCCTTCCACTAAGTTCATCTTTTGCTGGCTCTCTTTGAGATGAGGTTTCAGAATCTCAAATGCAACGTCATCGTGTTCCTCCGTTATTAAAGTAATACACAGATTAATAATGTCTGAAAGTATAAACAAGAAGTAGAATGATACTATCAAAAGAAAAAAAAACATGAACATTTTCTAGAAAGTGATATATTCTTGCTTGTTACAGTACCCGTTTCAAATATTGATTACTGTATTTACTCTATTAGTAGTGCATATGCTTAGGTAAATGACAGAGCTGTGTCTAAGGTCAAAATATTATATATAAACAGAGGTACATTACTTGGGGTTTGCAACGCGCATAGTACTGTATGGTGACATCATGCCAAGATCCCCATTCAAGTCTCATCTCGTTGATAGCGAGACTGATGCTACGACCTTCTGACATGACATAGGCGGGTTGTAATAAAACATGTATAACCACATTCATAGTGAAAAATGTAATACATCGAAAATGTACAGAAATATCCTGAGCAGCTATTCTGATACACCTGGACATCCCAGTATCCTAGTTACCTCAGGCATGCGCTATCGCATTTTTCTGAGTTGGAACGCTTTTGCGAGAGCGAGAGCGAGAGCGAGATTGAAACTGGATCTTGGTATCATGTCACCGTAGTTGCAAACCCCAAGTAATGTACCTCTGATATAAAGTAAAATTCAAATGATCCAGTTCTAACAGAGAAAATGGAGTATGCTGAAATAAATTATAATTTCAAAAGACCATTTTCTGTTTCACTGTGAGATCCCACGTTTCATGCAAAAAGCAAGGTCTTTATACAGTAAACAAAATTTGTAGAACATGATACAAATATCAGAAAAGACTAATATAATCCCTTGATCTTCTTTCAAGAGCACAGAATGAGATTTCTCAAACAATAGGTATGTGTGAGACCAAATTACACTAAATCAAATGAAAACAAATTTACATCACTAATGTATGTGTAGGACATAAATGATAAATGTACTAACTGTAAGTTGTTATTATAACGACGGTTCATCAAAGTCTTACACTAACCCTACACTGTGCAGTCTACTAATAATATTCTCCACACACACCCGCCCCACCCTGAAACTTACCTGGTTGGGACAGAGATTCAAACGATATTTGATCCAAGATCTGAAATGTAAAAAATTATGATTTAATTTTATAAGCAGAAGTAAAAGAAACGTACACAATGATTGTGGACAATACATGTACATGTATCTGCATATAAAACCACAATAGCATCACAATTATATGTGTTTGAGGTAATATTTATCACAATATTAGACAGTTTTCTTGTTTAGAACTGACATACTAGAAATGGTATCACTATGAAATATACGTACATGTATGTTACATACATAAATACATTCCATACAGAAACTGGCAACGCAATAATTAGTAAATAATTTTTCATTAATTATGCTAATTTTAAAAATTAAATCATTGTGAACAAGTAAATTTACAAATGTGGAAATAATTGTTTTCTCGCTGGAAAATCAAACAATTTAATTGAAAACTCTGTGAAGATGCTCAAAAATACAAAAAGGTGAAATTAAATTCTTGTGAAAACTAAATGCTTTCACAGTATGTCATTATACATACATATAATACCAGTAAATATTGTATCTTTCATGATAGAGTAAGTGTTTTATTTTTAACCAACCTCTTGTATGTGTTGCTTGTTACCAGAGGCTGCAAGGCTGTGGATGACAGACAGTAGATAGATAGACGGAACAGCATTGCCTTCAGTCTTCAAATTGGTCAGTATCTAGATGGTAAAAATAGACTTATTACAGAGATTTTACATCACCACATCTGCCAGATTCAAATTAAACTGCATACAGACTTTGTAAAACTAAGGTGTTCTGTGAATTTAGTGAAAAAAGCCATGCAAGCCAAGATCCCAACATAAAATTTTATTAAATTCACTTTGACTACATTTACCTCTCTGATGTTGTCAATATCACCTTTCTCTGCATATGCACACATCAACGCCACGTGGGTTTTCACAGAGGGCTCTAAAGAAACACTCCTATCAAATAAAATATATGGAATTATTAAGCAGCAGGGCATTTACAGTGGCCTGGCAGTATCAGTACGAAATCCCAAATTTTGTAATTTTAAATGTCCGTCAATCAGCCATGTGTTTTATGCAACATAGGTCATCAACCACTTGTCAGCAATGTGCTTCACAAGCATCAAATGATCCTACTAATTAACCCGCATCAAAAAAAAAGTTATTAAACATTTTTTTTTAGGTAAGAATGCATTTCAGCACTGACTGGTTATTTTATCCATCATGTTTGCTCCAAATACTTACTGCACAGTCCCACTTTAAGCCGGAGTCTGTTTGGAGCACAGCTTCATCAAATACAAAACAGGTAACAAAACAGAGATTGCTATATGTACATGTACATTGAGTTTTTGTCATCAAGTGATGACTACAAATATTTGCACCAAAATTTGAACAGAATTGGTTATCAAATTATGAAAAATCTTAGAAAAAAAAATCATGTTTGTAAAACTTTATCTTTTACTATATTATTTTTATATCATATCATACTCACCTCATTTGATCCAATATTCCTTTTGCACTTTCCATATCTCTGAAACAAAACATGATTGAAAGTTGGTATACAGCAATTCTAGAATTGAGGGACTATTAAAATAACACCTTTTATTTTAGCTGACAAAAAAATTTTTTTTTCAAAAGAAACAACATGTGCCTGATAAGATTTCCAATATATTAATAATCTAAATAATGTTCTAACAAATGAAGATGAATGAACTCACCCAGCCCTGGCATGGCCCATGATGAGGTATCTGAATACTGTGTTCGTCACTGGCATGTCTTCACTTTTCATGATTTCTAACACCCTTCGTGCCCCTTCCATATCACCTTGCTGACAATGCAAGCCAACTAGTTTTTTGTATGTAGCCTGAGAATTCAATAATAAGTCAAGTCATGAGTGAATGATGTTGATAATGTGTAACGGACGACCCTAGAAAACAAGTCGCCACATGTATGTACAGACAGCCAATCACTGTTAGCAGAGTTGTTGTTTTAAATGTTTTCCATACATTCCAAGTTCAAAGCGTACCTGGGGTTGAATGTAAGAAATGGATGGATGGGTGCCACAGTCCACTAGCATTTGTCACGATTATGATATCTTACTAAAATAGTACTGACCTGGTACAGTGCATGAAACAACAGCATGAGCAGATGACATTTTTAAACCTAGATTCACTATGGCTTTTAGGTAATACATTGTGAATCACAAGAAAGTTTTTGCCTGAACAAATTTCTGAAAAATCATGCTGAGTTATGAAAATATTGATTCACAATAATAACCAGACCCATATTTTAAAAACAACGTCTACTTTTGTGAAACCACTCTACGATCAATCAAGTAACAGTTAACAGAATTAGGCGAGGGTTCTTCGAACCCGCCTATTCACATAGTTCATACCCACCATAGACTCCGGTCAGTCAAAATGACTATTTTGAACTGTAGGCATTAATCAGCGATTCTGCCGGTGACGGAGAGATAGAATCCAGGTCAGGGGAAGCCCCATGACCTCAAGATTCTTTTACCCCTTACGTCACGAACCCACGTGACCGAGGCCACATGGCAACGCCATAGGCAGCCGTCCATCACTCTGGTTCCTTTCTCTCCGCCTCGAGGACTTAGACCAACGCGACGGAAAGAGTGGGGAGGTTGGGGGGGACCCGG